GTCTGCATCCGGGTGATCTATGGGAGAGTGGGCGGGAGGGGGGACAGGGAGGGGCGGGAGGATGAAGGGAGGGATGGAAGGAGGAACATGGGGAGGTGGCGGAGGGGAGTAATAAACTGAAAGGTCAAAAACAAACATTCATAATAACAGGTTTAAAAAAAAAAGATCAAACACAACATCTTAAAGCAGCTTCTATAAAAAATGTATGAAATGTGCGATAAATAGACTTTACAGGTTTAAGATGAAAGAAAAACAGTAGGAGGCTACAGTCCAACCCTCAGGTAAAAACATAATCACCTTTATTTGGAGTAAAAAAACACAGTAATAAACAGGGATGGGAGGTAAAATCTATTTTTAGATGAAAGCTGCTAAATCAAATTTATTCATGCTAATCGGTGCTGCAACAGTCGCACAGCTAGCACAGTTAGCGTAGCTTCCAGTAGAAAAACTTGTTTCTGTGAAGCTGTGTTTTTACATCTTCTCTGCTAAATACTGAAGGATGTATGACCATAAATAGATGAAAATATCAGAACATGGCTGTCTTTAGTAATGAAATGGAAACGTTTCATTTGTATATAAATGATGATAAACTCAACGCTAATCGTGTTAGCTTTTCTATGACGCTGACATCATTAGTTTAGTGTGTAACTATGCTTTCTTCTATTTAAAACTTAATGCTGAGTCACATTGTGTTTTTCAAAATGTGTTTTTAAAAGTTTACATCCTTCATAGGACTGGGCAATGTGACTGTGTTTCACATCGGTCCATCAATAATTATTAATTAGTTTGTTCTTTTACCTTTTAGAATTAAGAATCAGGRAAAAAAAGGCTGATTAAACTGCTAAACTGGTGACGTGACCCTCGTTTATCTCTCGAGCGGTTGTGCTCATTTTCTCCTTTCGCTCCACGTCGTTCTTTTTAGCTTTAAGAACTTAATTCTCTACATAAATTTCATGGGGCTGACTGCAATTATTTTATGAAACCAGAGGAAGACACATAAAACAAATTGCACCGGCGTGGCTGGAGGAGGTGTGTAGCTTCAGTAGATTTTTGTTAAGTGTTATCACAATCTCTGATCCTGGTTTGTAATTTGCATTTCCCTACGTAAATGTTGTGAACTTCCGTAAACAAAAATGATCAACGTTCTATTGAAGGTTATTGTCTCACGTGTCTATAGAGATATGTATCGTTATTGTTCTATCGCTCAGCCCTAATACTTCCATCAAGTGTAGTGGTTCCATATTTCTATCTCAGGTTGTACATAATTGTATAAAAATAATGTACAGACCTGCCTTTTGAAAGTGTTTCACATCTTTAATTAATCTTCATTAAGATGTGACAACAAAGAGACATGAATGAATTGTGGTTAACAAACAAACAATGCTTGTCTCTAATGAGTCAACTGAGCTAATGAGGATGACCCACAAATAAAAAGCAACAATAAACAATGGATAAGATCTATACAAACAAACAAAAAAGGTGACAAACACGAATAAGTCTTTGTGACACCTAAGCCCCATAGTTTTTAGTTAACACTGAAAAGCTGTCGTCTGATTAAATCTGTGAGGAAGGAAGAGGAAATTAATTAAGTTATGAGCAGCATTAGGCATTTTGTCTGCCTCTGCCTTCATCAGCCTGGCTGGACTTCAGTTCTTTCCGTCATACCTCCTTCTGAAGTCTCCGGAGCTCCTCGCTCAGATTGTTGTTGACCTTCAGCAGCTGCTGCACTTTGGCTTCTGAGGAGGCCAGGGCCTTCTTCACCTCCAGGTACTCCTGCAGCGTGATGGGCCCGTCCGACAGGTCCGATGAGTCCATGCTCTGATGGGATCGGACATGAATGAAGGTGGAAACGTGAGCAAGACAGACGTGGTGGACAAAAAACACATAAACTGGGACTTGAAGGAATTTCTTTAGCGTTCGTCTGATCAGTGTCATTATGGCAAGAGGGCAAATCCATCACAAGATTAGAAAGTGGAATGACCCTCTGTCTGTTTAGGGTTTGTGTAAACAGAGCAGAGGAAGATCTCACAGACATTTCAACAGTAGAGCCTCAGTTATGGCTCTTTGTAGCCCCCCCCCCCCACTTCCTGTGACCCTGAAGCACGCTCAGATTCATCCTCTACCACTCCTTCTGGCTAAACCAGTAACAACACCCAAAATACTTCAACCATACCATTCTTAAACCTTAGGATCACAGTCAAATTAAACAACACCATAAAAATAATCAGGCACGTTATCTTAATGAACTTTTCTGTCCTGGTCTCTCTAACCCTTCTCTTCCACGCTGTTCTAAAACTCTGGCTGTATGTTGGAACAATGCACAAGGACCTAGAATAGCCGATGATGTCAAGCAGGAGCTATGTGCCAAACCCAGATGTGGCTGCTTCCCTCAAAGCACGTCGGGAGAGGCAGCCATTTGAGCAGACATCAGGACAAAAACTGTGTTTCAGACTCTTTTTCTAATGTATTCATCTAAGTGGTGGCTGCGTAACATTCATGAACACGCGCCGAGCTGTGGAGAACGTTGAACAAAACTGCGTGTTTTCATTTCATATTTAAGTTTAATAAGCCATTTTGGACAAAATAACAAAAAAACAAAAGCAGATTACCTTTGCACGATTGCTGCGCTGCGTGTTGTTGTTGTTCTGGGTCGTCAGCTCACTGTCCGTGTCTTCGTCGGAAGCTACGGTGTCGTAGTCGTGCATGTCATCATCTATGCCCGGGTCCAATGGGTCTGCTAGAAGAAAAGACAACAAACATTTATTTATTTATTTACTTACTTACCTACTTACTTACTACAGCTTAAAAGTAGATGTTTTAAATCCTACATTTCAGGTTTAAATCATTCAGTCGGGGCATATATATTGCAGTGCCTTGGCCTGAATTCCTCCTTACCGTAACTCCACAAGCCCACAAGGTGCGTCTCAGTCTACCGTATTTTTCGGACTATAAGCCGCGACTTTTTCCTGAACTTTGAACTATGCGGCTTATAGACCGGTGCGGCTTATACATGAATTTTTTTCTTCAGCCACCAAGGGGCTCTTATGCTCCATTTGCTTCAACCACTCGCTTAAAAAAAAGAAAGGAAAAAAAGAAAAAAGCGATCGCTTCCAGAGCCGACTGTTGACCAGGAAGCAGCGATTTAAAGATGGTCAATGGCCAAAAACTCATAAAAGGGGATAAAACAGACATTTTTCATGGTGGAATCTGACTGATTAAAAACTTTGGAGCTTAATCCAGGACCAGTTTGTGGATAAACGTCGAGTGAAGAGCTGCTGACTTTTTTTTTTCCCTCATTGCACTCCCCGGGGAAGGAATCCCATGCAGTGACGTGTGCTGGAGCGTGAGGGCTTTCCCACCACAGCTTCAGAGCCAGCATTACCCCGGGAGGACAGCGACACAGAAAGCAACACTGAACAGATACCGCTGTGTGACGCAGCTTTTCTCAGCTTGTTTAACTCCGACACTGAAGAGGAGGACTTCGATGGTTTCAGTGCGCCGGAGGACGATGAATGAGACGTTTTGTTGGACCAGAAACTGTTAAAGAAAACTACCAAAATAAGGTCAGTTAAATGAACCGTATTCCTCCGAACTTTAATTCTTAAACGTTTGCTTTTTATGTTTTGATTTTGAATTCACTTTTCTGACGGCAAATTTGGGTGTACTGTTTTTTTTTTTATGTTGGGGGTGTGACTTATAGTCCGGTGTGGCTTGTATGTTAATGTTCGCGGATTTTTAAAAAAAAAATGGCAGGTCCTATAGTCCGGTGTGGCTTATAGTCCGAAAAATATGGTAACTCATTTTGACGCTGTCTCTTTAAATCCAAACGAGGAGCTTCACATCCCCAATCACATCTGAATTTTCTCTAATTTCTCAAATTAAATGAAATTATCTGCCAGTGGAATAAGACAATTGCAGTTCTTGAAATGAGATTAAGATTAATAATCTGACACATTCTGAGCTGGCTTAGTATATCAGTCCCAAAACAAGATACGGCATAAGATTGCTGGATATAAAACTGACTTGGTTAGATGGACAACTCTTGAAGAGTGATGGAAATATTTTCCTAAACTGTTTAAAAAAAAATCACCTGATTTGTTGCGGATTTCATGATGAAAAAGTGATTCCCAATTTATACATATTGATTTTTAGGTGGTTTTCCTTCATTCTGATTGTGGCTATGGTCTTTTTTTTTATTTTAGGCACAATGAAGACAGGAAATCATGTAATTTCCTATGTCTCTGAATGTGTGCATTTGTCCATCTGTTAGCAAAATATCTCATGAATGAGTGAACGTAATTGAATGAACATTTACAACCAATTCAAGATTGTTTTATTAGCTAATCAATCTTCACAAACACAAAAAAGGCTACAATTTAATCACTTTTACAGATTTTGTATAAAGACTTGGTGTGGTAGTAGCTGAGAGTCATTCCTTACAAATACTTCAAGCACTAACAGAAAAAAAGAAATCTGTTTAAAAGACGTGCACGACAAAGGGAGACGAGTTTCTTCAAGAAGCAGCGGTTTTTCTAACAGAAAGCAAATGTAATGAGCGGTGTGTGTGTACCACCCCCCCCCCCCCCTCTCAGTCTCACCAGTTGGGAAGCTGAGACCTTTTCCCTGCTGCCTCCTCTTGGCGTCACTCAGGATGTCGATGATGAGCGTCGCAAACTCCCGGGCGTTGAAACGAGCCAGCTTCTGACGACCCTGAGAGCAGAAGGAGGCGGAGCCGGGTCGGATTTAAAAACACACGCACTCTGCATGGCTGCCTAAAAAAATAAAAAAATTCTCTCCGAGTCAAAAGTCCTCTTTGTGAGCTATGTGGACCACGAACTGAGTGCAGGCTTCGGTCTGTAACTCTGTGCCTGTGTGAGTCCTGAGGTCAGACACCAAGTGCTGTGGAAATACACAGTCATACTCACAACACACACACACACACACACACACAAACCAGAACAACTGCACTCACAAAGACGCACAGAAACATGCAATTACACATCTGCGTGGAAGAATAAAAAGGACAGTTTCCAGCAGTTTGCTTGGGATGATTAAAAAACGATGAACTATTCATCCTAACACAGCACATGTGGCTAAGCTGGAGCTCTTTCTGTGCACCAGTGAGTACAGATGTGTGTGTGTGTGTGTGTGTGTGTGTGTGTGTGTGTGTGTGTGTGTGTGTNGTGTGTGTGTGTGTGTGTGTGTGTGTGTGTGTGTGTGTGTGTGTGTGTGTGTGGCGTGGTTACCTGGTTTCGTGTGGCAGAGTATTCAGGGTTGACTGGTAGGAATGGGACGGCGCTTCGTTCTGTTACCAGAGTGCTGTGGTTCTGTGTCGTCAACCACACTGAAGACAAAAAAGAAAACACAAAAATCACTATTTATACAAGAGTGTGTGTGTGTGCGCGCATGTGTGTGTAAGTGGTCACTGTAGCCAGAGCATGCGCAGCTGCCCACATCAGTCCCCTCTGCCCACACACACATGAAAACAAACAAAAATCAGGAAAACTAAACTTAAAAATCACTAAACTGAGTTCGGAGCGCTGTGCGGAGTTAAATGTGTCGACATGTTGGTGCCACTTACCTGCTGTGATTCCGTCAGAGCTTTTTTTATTTTCTAACTCTACTGAAGGGAATGAAGAAAAAGGGAGGAAGAGAAAGACTCGAGGAGGAGACGTTGAAAAGTGAAGGAGGCACTTCCTTGTTCCRACTCTCCTCCTCCTCCTGCATTTATTACATCTCCTCCTCTCCAGACCCTTTTTCTTCAATCCACCCTACAAATTCTCACTTAGTTGCTTATTGTCTTTTATTGCACGTGTTTTTTTTTCCTGCCAGAGCTCCATTTCAAAGTAAACATGAAGGCTGGCGACGAGAGGCATTTTAAATACTCGACAGGAACTGTCGTGTTTCGGAGGAGAAACAAAAAGGAGAAAGAGGAGAAGGGTAACCTGCATCGTTTTCTCTGCGATCCACCTCGTCGTAAACATCCATCGCTAACTCCTCAAACAACCGGTTGTTGAGCTGCAACACAAACAAAAGGAGCATGAGACCTGCACACATCTGCAGGGATTAGAGGAAGGCTTCAAGTACCTCCAGTCGTCAGAACAAAATCTTACATTTAACACTTCAATCAGCTATTTCAGACTTTTATTCCTTTGTGATGCATTTACAGGTCTGACTTTGTCATTTGGACTACAAAATATGGATTAAAAAAATAAGTCTGTTTTGATCATATGTGTTATATGCAGACATTTCTCTTTCACCACTTTTAAGAACTAAAATCTGACACTGAACCCTTTAGGCCCTGTTCAGACTGGGAGTGCTCACATCTGGCAGAAGGAAGCACACTCAAAATCTTTTTGCAAATGTCAAATACCAGATTTATACAAACACTTGTTTGGCCACGTTGCAGAGTGAGCTGTCAGATCAGCAACAAACAGGACATCAGCAGTGCTGCTGATGTTTCTGTAAAGATTACAACACATGCAGACATCTGAACTGTATTATTTTAACATATGACTCTGAGCCAATTGAGTCATAGTGTTTTGGAGTTATCTCTGAGTAAGCCAAATTACCTAACAGAGGGAATATGGAATAAACAGGACACGGATTGATGGTTTCAGAGCTCAGTGACTGAAGATTTTAACCTGTAAACTTCCTTTACAGCGAGTCTGAACCATCAGATCACAAAATCAGCACTGTGTTAGATTAACAGAACATGAAGCTGTTCGGATTATTGTCCTGTGATTGACACAGTACAGTGGGCCCAATCAACTCTAAAGCAATCAGAACAATTGAGAAACTGCCCATGCAGCAYTTTGATGACCCACTCTGATGAGTAAAACCCTGACAAAAATGATCAACTGTTATTAAGGAGGATTCTGAAAACACAGTTTATTCAACATTTCAGCAGACAAAGATGTATCTTAAGGATATTCTCAAACACGAATGTTGAATTAGCTGTAATGAACCAGCAGTTGAACGGATTTGGTGATTGGTTTATCACTTCAAGATATCCAGATAATAAATCAGTTGCTTGTGTGGAGTCATGTCAGTTCAGTAAGACAGACTACCAAATACAAGTAGATAAATGGAGTCCAGGCTGAACACACACCGAGGACATTCACACACGTATTTAGTAGGGGTCCATCCATCCATATTCTGTACACGCTTCTTCCTTTTCAGGGTTGCATGGGTCACTGGTGCSCATATCCAGCAGTCACAGTGCGAGGGGCGGGGTACACCCTGGACAGGTCGCAAGTCCATCACAGGGCCACACATAGAGGCAAACGAGACAAACAACCATTCACTCTCTCACTCACACCTAGGGACAATTTAGAGTTATCAATTAACCTAACAGTCATGTTWTTGGTCTGTGGGAGGAAGCCGGAGTACCHGGAGARAACCCATGCATGCACGGAGAGAACATGCAAACTCTACCCAGAAAGGTCCCTGGACCGGGATTTGAACCGTTATTAAGGAGGATTCTGAAAACACAGTTTATTCAATATTTCAGCAGACAAAGATGTATCTTCAGGATATTCTCAAGGACAGATGTTGAATTAGCTGTAATGAACCAGCAGCTTTAGTAGGGGCGCACCAATAAATTGTCTGGATGACTTATCGGCACCGATTTCATTAATTTTGGGAGATCAGCCGATACTTGGGTAACATCTGTGGAAAAAAAGGGCTTCTCATCTCAAACAAAACAAACAAAATAGACTTACTTTAGCGATCATGTGTTTTAATGTTTTTAAACTAACTACACAGTTGTTGTTTCTCATCTTTTTTAATGTTCCCGCCGTAATAAATCTGTTTGTTGATTAATCCTGCGGTCGCTCACTGATGTCATCAGCTCATTATTTCCTGAGTGCGGAACCGCAGCTTGCTTTTTCACAAATAGGTCAGCCCGTCTTGGGCCCGACTTTGATACTACCTCACTTGGGGGCTCAGAGGGGGCATCAAAGGTAAGATCAATTTACTCGCTTTTTTGCCATCATGTTTTTTCTGAATGATCCGAAGAGRACAGAACACACGCCAGTCCCAGACTGAGCCATCTTATGAATGAGGCTTATAACAACTGATGGTGTCACTCAAAAAAAAATTGGTATCGGCCAAAATCCGAATGGGTAGACTGTTTACAGATCAGTAATCGGCCAGAAAACTGCCATCAGTGCACACCTAGTATTTAGCTCTATTAAAACACAATTTAATTGGTCAGGACCTATTGAAGAACCAAGTCTGAACGGCATATTCTGGTTTATGGTGAGTGGGGATGGAGAAAGAACCCATATGAGCAGGGGACACATACAGTGGTTTGCAAAAGTATTCATACTCCTTGAACTTTTCCATATTTTGTCACATTACAACCACAAACAAATATATTTCACTGGAATTTAATGTGAAAGACCAACACAAAGTGGTATACAATTGTGA